AGGTCAGACTATAGAGCTCGCGCAGTATGGAGACGAACTTCTCGGAGACACCATTCCTCAGAAGATAGTGCCACAGTACCGTACGATCGACAGAACCGAAGGCTGCACGGATATGCAGGAACATAGCAATCGTTGGCCGCTGATACACATGACGGAGCTCGAGGATCTGGCGGAGTGTGAAGATTTGATCGATACACCCGCGACCAGGGCGAAACCAAGCTTGTTCTTCTCGTTGCAACGATTCGCGCGTTGGGAATAGCCTGGGAAGTATGATGGACATCAGCAGCTTGCAAACGACGGAGAGTAAACTTATGCCTCTTTAGTTGGAGCAGATTGTGCGCAGTCTCTTTTTGAAGATAGGGACGACCATCGATTCACCCCAAAATGATGGAACTTTCTCTTTAGACCAAATCTTCGAGAACAAAGCGGTGCGTCCTCGAACCAGCGAAGCGTCACCATCTTTAAATAGAGCTGGAGGAAGATCATCAGGGCCGGGGGCTTTATATCGCTTCATGTGCCGGAGCTCCTGCTCAACTTCCTGGTAAGAGGGAATCTGTGGGGGTAGGCCATTGGGCCCCAGCACGAGCGCCAGAGGTAGCAGATGGAGCTGGGGGCCAACAAAACTGCGAACCAAAATGTTCGGCCCATCGCTCCAACCGTCGTTGAAGATTGGTGATTAAGGTGCCATCATCTTCGCATAATATTTCATTTATACCATATCGAACACCTTCGGTGACTCAAATGAGATGGAAAGGTTTTCTGGTATTACCAGAGAGACCAGCATGCTCCTTTTCCCTAGCACTTTCACACCACCAAGCTTCGCGGTCCATTTGCAGACTCCTGCGCAACTCGACCAAGAGAGTGACGTTCTCCACTGTGCCTGGAATCCGACGGGATCAAGTGGCGTTTGTCCATCAGCGACAAGGATACGGCAGAAATCTAATGCTTCGGTGAGTGACGGGCAACTCCCTAAGTATCGATACTGGCGGAAACTAAAGCATTTTTGATCTGCGCCCACTGCGAGTCGAGATCACCGCCAATAGTTGAGCCAAGCAAAGTTGACAGTGAGGCTTGGTACCTGGTTAAAATCGCAGGGTTTTGTAGATTTGTGATGTCCGGTCGGTAATGAGCGCGCTTAGGTGATCCTCCGAAAGTCATGCAAATATTATCACGAACCAATGCGTGATCGGAGTCTAGATAAGTTGGCCAGTACGATCGGCAGTCCGTTACACTTCCGCGCCATCTGTAGCTGATTGCTGTGTATTTTTACACGTCAGCTGGTGGTGGGAAACACCTCAGCTACTGTGCCGCAATACATAAAGGAAAAGAAAAATGAACACAACATTTGCATGCCAGTTGAGCTACCAGCAACGGATAGGCATCGTTCCGGTAAGCTACCAGCCCGCTACTAGGCAAAAAGAAAAATTATTTTGTTTTACACTATGAAATGAGATCGTAGGTTGAGGGGGAAGCTAAAAGGGATGGGTAGGGACAAAGAAACTCACAGCAGGAACGCCACAGAGATCGGCTCCTCGCCATCTCAACAAGTGTATCTAGCCAAACGTGTTCACCGTCTTTTGGACCCCAACCAGAGAGCCGTGACGCTCCAACGGGGGCCAACTCAGAAAAGAGGGTCTTCATTCCTCTCGACCAAGTCATCGCTTGGCGCCCGTCCTCTTCTTCCATCCACATCCCCGGTAAGCAAACAACACACGTCGTGGAAGTCGATGGGCTGACCTGCGCAACACGTGACCCAGCCATCGGAGCCTGGTGCGTGAAATGACGGTGCTGAGCGGTTCAGATCCTTTTTTTGTGCTATGTGGTCAAGCTGGGAGCACTCTTGATTTTGTGAGGGTGGACGCCAGGTAGCAGTGTGTCTCATTGAGTGCCGAGGCACGCTTAACGTCTCGACGCCTGCTTACGTTACATGAACCTCGTCTGACTGCACATATCCGACTATTGACTGGGATCCAGTCAAATAGAGCTGATTCAGCCCTGACACTCAGTGCAACCCCAACCCCAGCTTGGCCAGTGGCGGCAGCTTCTGGGTCTCCGGAAAGTAGCAAGTAGTATTTGACGTCCGGGTTTACCGGAGTGGCCATCCTGATGACGGCGCTAGATTCTTGTAATCTGGTCTCTGAGAGGCAAAAGATGTCCATCGAAAACGTTTCAAGAGTACGGTCCAGACATGCTTGTCGTCCGATCTGTATCAAAGTTCGAACATTAAACGCTCGAGGATGAATGTAGAACCAGGTAGAAGAAGAGCTGGAGCTTCGGTGGAGTGAGTGGCGGTTGCGATGGCAGGACGTTGAAAACCGGGAGTTTGTCTGTTGCTTCCATCAGTTGCGAGGGGTGGTCGTTTGTGACGGTGACCGTAGAAGATATAAGAGTACATTTAGGTGAAGGACGGGAGGTAGGGTAATCTGTGAGTGGAGGTTGAGCAGTTGAGTTAGCATGGAAGATAGGCATAGCAGGAGCAGTAGTAAGCAGTATGGTTCATGATTCGTCAGTGGGCGTGATACTACCCAGGCCGAAGTAGAAGGTTGTCTTAGGGGCCCTACTCCGAGCCTTTGATCAAAGATCTAACCTACAAGGCAGCAGGGCGATGTGAGGGCGTCGCAACCCGTTAGGAGTGGGTGACCAGATAAATGGTTCATACGCGTTTCGGTCCGTGAAGGACCAGGGGCTCAACACACCCTTGAAGTACACTGGCTCTCAGGGAGGAGCAAGCGGTAGTGACTTTAGTCACATCCTTCACGTCGTTGTGTAGTTAAACAGACATTTGTGGCTTTTTATAGAGAGAACGCTTGCCAGGCGAAAACCCATCACCTCCTGGAACACTGCCGCTGAACCATTTGCTGGAACGGGAAAAATCCGAACCACCCAGTTGGCACCACGAGGAGGTTGTTCGCCAAGCCAGACGGACAGTGGACCGAGGCCGAAAGAGGGCCACTGGGCGAGCTCTGTGGTTGCCGACGAAACTATCGGGGGGGTTCAGTCATGAAAATAGGAATTAACTGATAACAGATAACAGTGATTGGTAACAAGTAAACGGGTGGCGTGGGAATTTGTGTGAGTAGCGGAAGCAACAGCAGCTGAGCGCGATATGTCAGATGAACCATCCATCGTTTTGTCAGTGGGCGTGATAGTACCCGGTTGCCCAAATAAAGTTCCTATCGTCTACACGGCGACACAAGCCCGAGATATGCTGATTCCAAAAGTTGGACAAGCTGTCCAGAAATCCAACCTTGGTTCATTTGATTCCCTGTCAGAGACTTTGGTAAACTGGCCAGCCACTGCGGCGTCAAGAAGTATGACGATTTGAAAGAAGTTGACCGGCACTTGTGTCCAAGTATGCATCACACTAGCAACGCGATGCTTTCATGGCCCAAATGTAGTCACATGCGTAGGTTAATCAAGTGGATTGGTTTGTTTGCTTGTTTGTTTGTTTAGATCCAGACGGTGAGCAAGCCATCGGATACCGCTTAATTGTGTAAAGGAGGAGGATGGCATTGCTCCAATACACCACATGTATCTCCGTTTGTCATTAGGTCATCAAACTGAGGTGAAATAAACAATGTTTTATCACTGGTAAAAAAGCAGTTGCCTGACAAGTCCCGTAGGAAAGTTGGGGTAAAAACTGCGAAATCGGAAGATATGCGAGTCATCTGTGTACATTGCTGCAGAGTGAAAAGCGTTGCTGAATGACGATAATGTAAAACAAGAATTGAGGCCAAACACACAGAACAACGCGGGGTGCAGTGATGGTTGCCGTATTACGTGAGCAAAAATAATAAAATCGCTCACCCATATCCCACTTACTTGGATCCACGTAGCAGAAATCCGGTATGAGGGAATGACATCGATATTCCACAGTAGTATAGCCAGAGTACTTAAGTACTGGAGACTAACGACGACATCCGATCGTGTTTTTTTGAAAATTCCCAGTGAGGGAGGTGGCAACAGAATTATGGGGAGAGTTCCAGAGTTGGAAAACCCGAAGAGAAAAGTACTTTCGTTGTCATTCTAGACGGTTGTATTGTTCACTCAGTTTCAGTCAATTACCTCTGAGCTTGGCGTTCTGGCTAAGTTTCAGCAAGTATGAAGCCGAGTTACAGAGGTGCTTATACGCGCAACTAAAGTACCCATTGCTTACAGGGGACACAATCCCGAAATATGCTGGTTCCAGAAGTTGGACAAGTTGCTCCTAACTTGTTCGAGTCTGTGATGCACAATATCAAATCCCAAGTAGCCCTATTTCCTTCTACTGCTTTCCTTCTTTCTAATCTAGTTCCGCAAAAGACAGGTGAACCGCACACTGCTGACGTTTCTCAGGAGGATATAACGACCGCTTGGTGCTTTTCTCAACGCATGCTGACTATTAGAATTTGTCTTGATGGAATAAAGGCAATTTGTACCATTTAATTCTCCGTACCACGTCCTTGCAAATAGAAATTTGCCTAATTAACTTTGTTGACCGGCACTTACATTTGTAAACCTACCTCGTCGGGATGTTGCCCTGTGGTTTGATGCGCTTAGTGAGCATTGGCCGCCTGCCTTATTTCGGTTTATGATAAAACTATGGTGCATAGACATTCGTCCAGCTTCTATGATTTGTTAAGTAGGCATCTTAGTCTAACGTGCTCATGCGCCGATTGTTTGTAAAGGAGCTACACATGCGGAATACCTAAAATTCATCGAGATGACTCGCAGCGCATGCCCACGCAAAGTTATACGGTATCAGGAGTAAGGTTGATAGACGTTTAAAAAAAACCAAGTTCGTGCAAAACTTCTTAGTAAAAAAGCAATAAAGTCATGGCTTCGTACTCGTTGACAGGCAAACCTATTATCCCGAGACAATGGGGAGGAAGTTTATGCAGGACAGATAACGAAATTGAAAATAGTGGAATGTACAGTCTATCCGCAGTGTCTGTGTCAATCGAGTTTCATGGTGAAGTGTTTGCTCCAGCAGTGCTGTATCACCTGATTGCTCTGTATTTTTATACCTATAAAACAGTGGAAGAAAGGGAAAACTTCCTCCGAATCATGGGATTAAATGCACCAGAAAATGCAATAAACGCCACCTCACACACACGCGCAATAAACACACGTGAAGCACCCGTGCACATGTCAGTGGTGTGTGCTTTGGCATGCATGATAGTGCACCACCTTCTAGTTTGGACAACACAAACTGCAAAATACAGGAGTAAAATACTTCACCAGTAAAGTAGAATGATGTGCACCGAAGTAGTCGCATTCGCACATATACATTATGGGGACGCAAAGGAAAGCATCTTCAGCAGTTTGAGGCATTACATTAGCAGCTGACTTGCACGCACCGGCCAAAGGTTTCTACACCAGAATGAGTCGCGAGGGGCATCGCGCTGATGACAAGTGCTAGCAGGAAGGAACGGCCGTCCAGGCCTTTCAGATGTGCGTTTGGCTATCTGACTGGAAACTGAATACCATTAAGTCCCCCCAGATCATCGCTTGACTGTTAGTCTCCAATTTAAAGATCACCTGTTAACAAGTCCACATATGCATGGTTCAAACGAAACTTCGGACTTTATCCGGTTCGGAACCAGCCGGCGAGGTGCTAATCGACAGAAGAGCTTGGGTTATTTACAAATGCAAATTGAAAAGTATGTTCGTCCATATGATTGGCGCAGGCACACAATAATATAGCCCCCTGACCGCATATCCTGGGACTGAACTAAAGGCTATTCTCAACCTCATCGTCTCATGTTCTGAAGCCTGACTTTATCAGCAGCTATTCTAGATGCATCGGGTCAGTTGCAGTTAACAGTGAAGTCGGAACGTCACCGAATTCACCTGGTTGTTGCAACAACTTGCTGAATGTCTAAACTGGCATTTAATGCGGTATCCCTTCGTAGTTTCTGCACCAACTAACTATAGAAACAAACATTGTTCTAACATGGATAAACGAGCACAAGCTTAATATCTTTTAGGATGAAAGGGCAGTTAGTTCGGGCGACAAAGTAGCGTCAATTAAAAAGCCAAGCATTGGTTGGCTCGTCAGAAATTTAACCCCAGCACACTGATTGGTGATGCTACTTTGACACCAGGTCATGAAGAGCTATACAGCGCAAAGTAACTGTATGACTGTATCTTCGAAAAGACGAGAATTGTGGAAGAAAAAACGTAAGATCTTTACCAAGCTGAGCGACACAATGTGAAAAGAAATTCAGACGGCATTGCAACCGGCTGTACGGTGTGGTCAGATTTAGCCGGTGACCTCTCTGAGTGCTATCATGATTCAACTTCAGAAGGTGACGACAAGCATGACTTGGGTTCCTCAAGATCTGACATATCATCATCAAATACCCACACAGGCTTCGATATTGTCCAAAGTAGATCCCAAGGTTTTTCTGCCTCAGTTGGTAAGGGAGATGATGCAGACCCTTTACGTTCTTGGCCGCCCTTCGTTGTAGCATTTCAAGTGCGTTGAGATCGTGTTTGTGCCGAGCTGCCAGAGATGGATGACGTATTCCGAATGGGGATTAATGTAAACGTTGAGCATCTGAGAAAACTGAATCGTGGAAACATCAGATCGCTCTCCGCAAGAGACCAAGGTGTTGGTTTGATAATTTTCGAGACTTTCTCGGTCTACCGGGAACAGCCAAGATCCTACTGTGACATTACTCTTGGAGCGTATTAATAAAACAAGCTGCACGACTAGATCCCGTTATTCGCAAGTGGATTGATGGCCTCGAAATGAAGCACGTTCTGAGTCTCTCACTCATATACCCAATCGAGATGACACCGCAAATCTACGTGGTGAAATACTGTTTGGATTAGCCCACTATAACTTGAGATCATGGACGAAGAGTAGGAAATTCAAAGTGATCACTCTCGCGAGATCGTTACAATAAGTTAAGAATAGGCTTGGACAAAATACTGAGTCATGTGGCACTCCGCAGTAAACTACGGTGTTGTTAGAGATGGCTCTGTGAGCTCTCTCATCTAGAAGTCGTTGACGTAGGAAGTCACTTTTCTAACCGAGGACCCTGACTCCTTTGGTAAGTCCAGACAAACTGCAGCAAATCCATCACTGTTGTCGACAGTTGCAAACTAGTTTTAATGTATTCGTCCCAGCAGTTCACAAGCTACATAGCTCAATCACAATCCGGAAAGTATCTGTAATCAACACAACATCTGGAGAAATCCGTGCTGTTCTGGCAACATGACGTTCATCACTCTAAGTAACCCATGAGCGCTTCGGCTACAATGGCCTCCATGACTTTGGAGGCAAGGCAACAGCAGTACGCCGGCAAGCAGTACCAACGCTTCGCTGCAGCGAAACCATCACCAGTTGCACGTGGGCTAAGGATACTGCGAGGGTTGCCCTGTCGCTACTTAGGCTCGAACCCGCGCCTTCAGATTACACGGCAACCTTGTGATCTTTCGGTTACGGACCAGCTTTTGGGAGCATCGGAAGGAGTGCAATTTCGAGTTAGTTTGCCGGAGCTGCACGAATTTCTCCCGTGCGAATGAGTTAAGATTCTTTGCTTCCACATTGACAAAACCCGCAGCTCGTTAAAATATTGTTGTAATTCATGAATACTGAACTGTGGGAGCTGTTCAGCTAAATTCACAGCAGCTAACTGCCGCACATTTGGGTAGATATCACCAGCACCAGAAGTAGCATGCTTGCTCAAGCAAATTTGCTCTTGAAAAGATCTGCAGCCATTAACGAGATTGCACTATGTCCTGGTCGTAGTACAAATTGCGTGAACAGTATGCCAGATGAAATCGTGCTCTAGAAACATAGAGAGAATTGCCGACGTAGGGATTGGGCTGCGTCTGTAACAGTTTGTTATGGTTCATGTGGCGTATTTAGGTCAGGAGTCCCTCCCAGCACTTATCAGAATTTGTTAACATGTCAGTAAACGAGCTTAGGTTTCAACAGAATTGCACTGCCAAATCCCGTCTGTACTTTAATGAATCGTCCTTTACCAGTTCCACGTGATGATTCCGTTTGACAATGTAGGCATTCCAAGCTATGATGCCTGTGATTCCTTGTATTTTCGCCAGAATGAATCTCTTGTGATCACATATGGTTGCGTCCTGTTGCATACGAATGGCTTTACTCTCATCGCGCGAGGGGGAATGTTCCTCGAAACATTGGTTCCTAACCTGTTGAATTAATGAACAAAATCCACCAGGTCACATCGAGCGATAATTCATCTACAACTGACCAGTTGGTAGTAGTAAAGAGCGTAGCTAGGACGCCGTAATCGGCGTTTGCCGAATACTGTGCATAAGAGATTTATTAGAAGAAATGTCACATGATTGCTGCAGCCCAAAGGGAGAAGTAACAATACCGTTTCGATGTAAACTTTTCGATGGTGAACGCGGAATCCACCAAACGTGGCTTATTCTTTGTCCAATGCCATGTGGGTAAATAACATGGCTGTACAATGGTAACCGAAGGAGTAACGTCTGTTGTTCCATGTTCAACTTTTCATCGAGAAACGCTGTAGTCTCACGGGCGTGAAGATTGAAGTCGCCAACAAGGAAAATGTGACAGTTTGACTGTGCGAGAACCCACTACAGAGTGGCGGTTAAGCAATTGTCCATTTCCAAAGTAGACGACCATGAGCGAGACAAGACACGCAGCAAACATGTGTCATCAAGTCTTAGGTGAAGAGGGCACCAAAGCGCGTCGACAGTCGGAACCTCCAGGTCGTCGATGAGATCAAGGTGTAGCTCACTGAAGTAGTAGGGAAGTACACGACCTTCTTGATTCGCTCTATCGTTGCGCAGAATGGACAACCCTGGTAGTTCGATTGCGGCGTCAGTGATCACTTCACTCCACCATGTCCAGGTTACCATGATGAGGCCACCCGACATTAAAGCCTGACGCGACCGGAGCTCAATAATTTTACTGAAAGTTATTGTGTCTATGGATAAAAACAAGAGGGCACATTATATGTTTAGTGGAAGGTGCAGACAGTGAGTGTGAGCCTTGTGAGTTCAGGCACCATACTTTTCTTAGAAGCCGTCGGATCTCGGAATGGAGTTGCTAAACTAAATATTCCAGCTCATGATGAATCTCCGGGTGTTTTGATGACTGTTATATCATTCGCTGCGCTGAATGCACAATTGGTATCTTCACTGAGTTGGTTGGTTTCATTGAATAAGAAGAAGCCTGTGTTCGTGTCCCTGCTGCCTGTAGTCAATTTCTATTAACCGTCTGTTGTAGAACGCATCCCACTTCTCTAAAGGAACCTTTGTCCTTAGTTCAGACTGTAACACCAGATTCAGCAATCTAAAAATACATCCCTTGTAAGTAGGTGACACGGGAATCCTTGTCCATAAAGCAGCAACGACATTTTCTTGAGAGATTACCTCACGAATCTAACGCTATTGCTCCGATGCAAATACCTGAGCTTCGTCTGCACAGGAAGCTTGGGACTCTGGGACACGGTGAACAATGATGCTCTTCTTATCCTTGTGTCTTCGATGTCCCTATTAGTTATTCGTATCCACTGAACGTTGTTTTTGCGAAATGTCCGGTAGTATGCCCACTCTGCTTGATACGCTGTAGAGTCCATTCGTAGAGAGCAGAGTGGTCTCCGTCCCATCTGCGGAATTTAGTGCTTTACTAACAAACCGAAGATCACCATATTGCAATGAGTCTTGTTGACATACGATTCCTCTCAATGTAGTGGTGTCAGCACCGATACCGATCTCATTACATATTAAATCCCATTGATTACAACTGTCCATCAGCTTACTCTTGGTTGTATTGGATTTGAATATGGGACGTTAATGCACACAAGGCAGCATGATTGCGCCTTGTGCCTTTCGGCTTAAGAACACATGTTTCTGTTACTGACGACAGCAATCTATGCTGCTAACAACAAGGATGGACTATCATACCTGACAGAACCAAGCCGCCTTAATTTTGTGATCGTGCTGCCTCGTTTACAATGGTGTTTGACAAACGCATTTAGGGTGACATGAATTTGCGCAATTAACG